CATTTATGATTCAATGCAACAAAATAAACAAATTTAAAAGGTAACAGAACATTGTAATACTTAGTTTATTTTAGGGATGCCCAATATTATCGGCATGGTATCGGTATTGGCCGATATTAGCGTTAAAGTTAAATATCGGACATCGGCCATTCCATCAAAATAAGTCACAGAAGATGTTGTTTTTCTATGACAACCCAGTGACAAGGATGCCTGCAGCCCCAGCACAACGTGATGACGTCACGTGTGCCTACCTGATCTGATCACGGCAGAGAGGAACAAGTCAAACTATTGGCGCTGTAGGTTTTTTTTCACTGAGGATTTCGGATTCCATAGATTTTTGGACCACGTTGAGCCTTGTTACATCGTCCCCAGTCAGGGATATTTTTCCAACGTAACCTTACCCGAGTTACAAGCCGTCATTTCCTGATGTCATTGAGAAGCGAATAGCCGATAGCACTTGGGTGAGTTTTACTACAGACATTTGTACGTCAAGTGTTAGCCCCGTTAGCATAATTAGTTTTACGGCACAATGGTTAGACAAAAACTTTGATCTTTAAAAGTCTGTCCTTCATGCACAAGAGTGCAGAGGATCCCACACTGCAGCTAGGAACCTGGAACAAGCCTCCACAAGTGAGACAGCATCGCAGGTGACTAATGCTAATAAATAACATTTAACACTTTTCATTTAATATAAGTTAAATGCTATGCATATCATATGGCTGTTACTGAATATGTCACCAGCTCTTACAGCTGTTGCACAATTTTTGTAGCAAATAAACCTAAATAAGAGGGTTATGTTCTGACAAAGGAAAGTATATTAAAAATATTGGTATCTGTTATCAGCCAAATAAGTTTGACCATGTGGGCATATCGGATATCGGCCAAAAATCCAATATTGTGCATCCTTAGTTTATTTACATAATGACTTTAATTACTGGATGTCCGGCCCCTGAGCTGCTGGCTTTCAAAAACTCTGGCCCACTGAGCAGTTTAGTTAAATAGCTCTGCTTTAGAGGGTGGAATACAGTTTATTCCATTTCCAAAACCTAAACTGAGTCTGGAAAAATGTAAAAAATGGATAAAGCCCTGTGGCCGACCTCATGCTGAATACAACAGTGATAAACAGGAAGTACCGCATGGTCGTCTGTACGAAGGTAACTGCAGGTAAATCCTCCATTTTTGTCATAATTACATTGTATGTTTAATGATTAAAGGTTAATGATTAAAGCTAGTTGTGTTTTGTTTTGTGTGTTCTGTATGTAGATATATGTTGCAACTTCTGGTTGCATAGGTTTAGTCTTTGTCTGTGATGATCAGTTAACACTAAATAGATTTTGTACAAAGCGTTTATTAGGTTGTGTAATGTAAAGCAGAGCGCTATGTCTGTAGCATTTTAGCTAGTGTGTCTGTACTGCATGTCGCTAGCTTAGTGCTACACCTTGTTGTGCCAAGCTCTCCAAAATATTTATTGAATCAGGTGTTTACTTCTGTACATAAATGTAGATGTTTAACATCCTGTTTAAATACACCAGAATACAGGAAATGGCATCAACTTTATTCAAAATTTTCTGGGGGAGGACCCTCAGACAGCCCCCCGGACCCCCAACACACACACAAATTATGAATGCTTCTGTGCCAATAGTCACCACGTTGTTCAAGCACTGGGGGCTAAGCACCCCTAAACGTTAGATTCTAGAATCGCCCCTGATGAGGACATAGTGATCTTACTGTCTTCAAACTAAATGAGTTGATCATAAAATAAGTCACTGATTTTCTGTTGTTCTCTACATTTCTGACAGGAAATACAGAAAGAGCGGTCTTGATTAGTTTGTATAACTCTGCTCCTCCAATGATCTGCAGAACAGGTCCTCCTGTTCCCACCTGTTTCAGATCAAACCAGAGAAGCAGCTGGACACTTGTGAGACTGTGATCATGGACGATCGTTTGGAACAAAGCACCTGCTGCATCAGCTTGGACCTCATGTGTCCCTGGGTCAGAAAATAACAAAAGCCGTGTGATTTGAAGATAAAATCAGACGTTCTTTGAACTGAAATGCCGTGAGTACAAGATGGAGAGAAAAGCCCAAGTGCCCTGATGGTGCATGTGTTCTTTAGACTTCATCAGCACAGAAACAAAGAATTATCTCCCTGGACTGTTCCTGAGTGATCTTGTTAACATTTTGAAGATTATTTTCTTAAGAGTTCCAGAAGACACAACGTGTATGGCTCAGGAGCAGTAATCTGTCTGTACAAGAGGAGTTAGCATTTAGGAATCCCTGGAGTTGGAAATCAAAACAACATGATCCTTTATCTCATGCTCCAACAGCTCCAACTAATTGGTAACAAATATAAAACGTTTTGGGAACCCTTTGGGATCATCCTTGAGAAGAGGACATTTTATTAAAGAAGACAGATGTTGATGTGAATTGATATGAGTTCGCTGAGTGAGGAACGGAGCTCGTTTATCTTCCTCTCTGCTGGTCTGTTGGTCCCTTCAGGACACATGCAGCCTCACTGAGGAGCTGCAGACTGCTCAAATCATTTGAAGTTGACCTAGGGGAAAGATTCTGAGCAATTAATAGCTTACCTGTTGTAGATGGCTTTTGCAATGACCTGTGTGGCGAGCTTTTTATGACCAGATGAATGAGCTATTGTCTAGTCTGAGGGTGCATTCACACCAGCCCTGTTTAGTCCACTTTAATCGAACTCTAGCTCGTTTTCCTAGAAAGTCCGGTTCGTTTAGGGAGGTGTGAACGCGCCATCGAACTCTGTCATGGAACAAAAAGGCGAACTCTGGCCCAGGCTAAAACCTAGGTCTCGGTCCGGTAGAAGAGAACTCCAGCGCGGTTCCAGTACAGTGTGAATGTAAACAGACCGAGCCCCGCACCGCAGGGTAAACAAACACACATTTCTCTGACTTCATATGGAGCCGTCAGCTGCCTTGTGTGGAAAAACAATACTCTCCATGGTCTTCTGTCTCATCTTCTGCTCATGCCAAGTACATTTTTGAAAAATGGCAAAATATAACTCCTAAAACTGCTAAAACTTGATGCCATTTCTTTTTGTTTTTATTTACAGAAGAAGACGTGTCTTCAGAGGTTTTTGTGTCGTTTCTTTCAGTAGTTCTTGGTGCAGCGCCCCCACAGGCGAGCGGGGGAATAGGTTGGTTCAACAGGTTGACTCGACTGCACAGTGCAGTGTGAATGCAAACTCACCAGCTCAAATGTAAAAAAAAAAAGGTCATGAATATTGGTCCCGAACCGAACCGAGTCTACCGGACTATCTAGTGTGAAAACGACCTGAGTCTGAGTGAGGCCAAGATCTTTGCTATCTTAAAATAACACCAATTTTAAAATGCTGCATTATCAATCAACCTTTATTTAGACAGGTAAATCCCATTGAGCCTCGAGGACTCATTTACAAGAGAGACCTGATTATTGTTTATGAAAAGCTCTGTATGTCCTCACTACATGGATTCACTGTAAACTGGGTTTTATTTGTCTCCACCTTGGAAAAAGTTTTAAAAATACCAGTTTTTCACACCAGAAGTTCAATTTGTGTGAACCAGAAGTTTAAACGCAACCAAAAATAGTATTAAAAACATAAATACTAAGTTTCTTTCGGCTGCTCCCTTCTTCTGAGGTTATCACAGTGAGCAAACTCACAAAAATGATTTGTCAATTTGTTTTACACCAGATGCCCTTCCTGACACAACCTGGGCTCGAACCTGCAACCTCAGGATTACAAGATTTTGACACTGACCACCAAACTACCACAGCCCCATGAAAAACATATTTAAATGTGTGTGTTTTTCAGTATTTCCACACATGCAGTTTATAGAGCTGGCAGAAAGTGAAACAACAAAAAAATTTTTTTTCCATTATATCTTTATTCTCTAAGATAAAAATACTTTTTTAAACAGCTGGAGGAAAACATAATTCACAAACATGCTCTTCTGTACCGTAACAAGATGGGTTGAGTCATCACAGTGACAACATTCAACAGCTTAAAACAAGACAGTGTGAGCCTTTAATCATTCCTACCAAAGGATGGAAGCCACCTCTTCACCAGAACATCAACGTGTGAAGGGTATCCCCTCCAAGACTGGAGATTAGCAGAAGTCAATGTCACAGAGTGCCGTGCCCACAAAGACCACTACAAGGTTTTTAAAGGCAATTACATTCAGAAAGATCAAACGACAACCAGCAGCTACTGACGCAGTGCACATGCGTAAGAGAGGACACAATGCTCCTCTAACAGGAAGTCAATACAAAACATAAACTCAAACAATAACTACCTATATTTATATATTCAGATCAAATTTCTTAATTATATTATATAAGTTACAAATAAAGGTTTAATGTTTACGTTATGAGCACTCAAATATCAGATTCACAGAGAGACAAAAGTCTACAAGCTTAATTTATATGAGGAGTCCAAGATTTATGTGTTATAAAATGTATGAAATAAAATTAGAAACAAGTGCTTTCTGGTTTGAGTGATAAGTGACACATGTTCAAGACCCCCCCCGAGTGCTCGGAGCACCAGTTCTCACGCTGAGTTTTGTACTTTCACGTGATGCATCACAGCTGATGACGGGTGCAGATGGGATTTACTGCACAGCTTGAACCGTTCCATCAGAGCCTCGCTCATTAGCAGAGTCCTACATATTATCAGCTCCGAAACGCACAATAATCACATACAGAACTTTTGAAGCTGGTTTCTAAGAAATACAAAAATAAAGAAAGAAATTTCTTTCAAAACTTTAGGGCAAACTTAAGGGTTATAGTGGGAATCTGTGTAATGAAGCCTGAGAAGATGAAGACAGAGACTTTTAAGTGCGGTGGATTTAGCTAACAGAGCACGGGTCATCTTTGCAGGGCTTGATGTCTCCTTGCAGCAGCTGGGCCATAACTCCCTTGGTCAAGTAGCTGGAGGTGCCCCTTTTTCCTATAGGTGGGGTGTTGTAGAAAGCCTCCATATCATCCTGGGACAACACAGAGAGGAATGGAGGATGAAACATATTGATACAACGCTTTGGTAGACTGTCCGAGCTGAAGGGAAGATATTTGACCTGTTTCTCAATTCCTTCGAAGCGACTGCGGTCCTTCTGGAAATCGTTAAAGGCTTCCTTCACCAGTCCATCCAGGTCCACCGGGTCACTGAAATCCAGCTCTGGGTTTCTCTCCAGAACTATGGCCACCACCATCAGTAACTAGGAGCGTTGAAGACAAAGGGAAAAAAAAACATAAATTAGAACTTCAAAGTTCATGCTCAATAATTCAGGTACAAATCCAACAATGTCAGCTCATCTGGATGGTTTTGTTATTTGCTGAGATGTTTTGTCCTTCATCCAAAGGACTTCATCAGTCCGAGAAGCAAACTGGACAAAGATCGTATCACCCCCAAACTGTTTTTTTTTACTGTGAGTGTGCTGCTTGTGGGAATCAGTTTGTTTGTGGCTCCTCGGACTGATGAAGTCCTTTAGATGAAGGACGAAACATCTCAGCAAATAAGAAACCGTCCAGATGACCTGACTGAACATTGTTGGATAAATTAAAACTAAAAATGTTCAGAAGCTGCCACTGTGGCTACAGACCAAAACAAACAAAAGCAACTTTGTAAAGTTTGAAGCTAAGAAAAATGCCTACATTTTGCTGTTTGGACTTTATAAGACACAAGTCAAGACCATTAGAAATGTTACAGCTGCTGCCAGTGGGTTGCCATGGCAACCACACACCTGTCCATGACAGCACTCTTACAAGAGGCAGACAGAGACACAGACTAAAAAATGAGCTTCACTGTTTCACACATTGCATTGTGTGAAAGAAGACAAAATTGTAATTTGTACTGGATAACCTCTATTAACCAAGTTCATTTGATTTCTTCTGTACTTTTTCTACTTTGCTGCTCTTCAGTGGTGTTTATAAATGGGTGTTCACCTCCACAATGATCTGTCTGTACTCAGGCAGGATGATGTTCTTCAGTGTGCCTTCCACCAGCAGGGAGAAGTTCATCTCATACATAGTCATGTCAGACAGAGTAGGTTGCTGCACAGAGAGAAGAAGGCAAACAAACATGTCGGGTAGTGAGATGGTTTTTAGACAGCTGTGACCACCCTGAACAGAACACACTGTAGGTGTATGGGATCTGTCAAGTGTTTAGGAACTTCTGACGCGCTGAAAAGGTCAAAGTGTTTGTCTTGTGAAGGTAGAGGGGGGAACCTGTGGGAGGTGAGTCCCAGCAACCACAATCCCATTGGGAGTCCGCTCCAGGATCTGCCACACACGGTCATAAAAGCCCAGAGGGGTTCTGTTCAGAGAGCCATCGATCTGTCGCCTGTTCAGCCAAGACCTGGCGGGCAAAGAAGGGAGAGGTTTGAGTCTTAAAAACAGATTAAAAACAACAATAATGACAGCTTTTGTGCTTAAGGAAACGGTTTTCAGTCAGCGTGTTTGAAACAAGATAAGATAAAACTTTATTCATTCTCCACGGGAAATTGGGATGCGATGAAATAAGACGATAAGATAAAAAACATTGCCAAAGCAGATACAATAATTAAAACAAACAAAAAAAAGATAAACAAGCATTAAGATAAAACCGTGGTATCTTCAAAGGCAGATCTGAGTGTGGTGAAAGGAGGTCTGTTGATGGCGTGTAGGAAAGTGATAGCCAGGTTTGTTTCAGAGTACCTGCCGGTGTGCTGCGGCTGCAGGACGTCCAGCAGAAGCTGCTTGATGTCACTGGGTGACAGCTGGTAGATGTCCTGAGGGGGCATGTCTCCAGCTCGGATCTTCAGCTCATGCTTCATAGCCTGGACGATCCATCTTAAGAACCACGTAATACATACAGGATGATAAAGATGAAGTTAGCACTGTTGAAAACACTAAACAGAGGACACCAATAAAACCCCATTTATGTACAGACAAGCGAGGATATACGTTCAAAGGCAACATCTTTTTCTCTAGAAAATCATAACTTTTGATTTATAGACACAATTTTTTTGTTACCGTACTTAGGAAGTGAAAGCAAATTACATATTTTTAAAATTACGTTATAAACACAAGGATACGTTTCTCTGTTACATCAGCCTTCTTTTTAATTATACTTTTTAATTAATTAGAAACTAAAGACAGTATTTGTTGTGTTTTTGTATAAGAAATCTGAATTCATATTTGTTTCATGAAATTTAAGAGACGTACACCATCTGTGAGGCACACACAGTCTGTGTCTATAAAACTGTGCTGTAGTGTGTGGTGTAGGACGAGGTCTGGGTTTGTTCTGCTGAAGAAAACTTGCTGCCTTGATGTCTCTCTAAAAGTCCAATACACGGTCTGCCTCTGCACGATCAGTACTTTAACATTAATGTACACCTAGTTTTTACTCTTTGCTCATAATGACCTGGATGTTTTGCATCGTTGGTACAAATATGTTTAAGACTAAAGCTACTGCACCAGTGACTGCAAAACAACTGTCCGCTGTCCATCTGAGATGGGTTAGTGTTCAAAAGCCATGGCAGCACTTCTGTAAAAAGAGTTCATGTGTGTTTTGAATTACTTTGACTATGGCTGCCTCAGAGGAGTCAAAGGGAGAGAGGGCGGGCCCGATAAACCAACTTATCACAAGCAAACTGGTTGGTCCACTATGTGAGTGTGTTGCTTGTGGGACTCAATTTGTTGTGGCTCCTTGGACTGATGAAGTCCTTTGGATGAAGGATGAAACATCTCAACAAAAAAGAAACTGTTCAGAAGACCAGACTGAACATTGTTGAAGTTCATATGTGTCTTCCTTCTTTTATAAAATGGTTTGTAAGTCAATCATCCAGGTAGATACCAACAAAAAAGGTTAAATCGTGTCATCTAGACCAGTTTCTTTAATATCAGGTTTGTGGTAATGTTTCAGGATGCAGCTGTGATGAGAAACAGGGTTTTCCCCAAGGTATTCCTAAAACTTAAAATGCTGCCTGAGAGTTTAAAAGTGACACATCTTGAACCTGCTCCTGCTCAAAACCTCAGCCATTTAATTCAAGTTTTTACTCATACAGTACTTTACATTGTTTTCTTCATTCAGCTGTCAACTGACACATTTAATCACAATGACTTTCCCAATGTCATGCTTTGGTTTATTTATTTTTGTAAAGAAATCACTTTGCTTTGAGTGAAATCCTGCATCTCTCCCATTTATGTCATGACTTTTGAGCCGAGTTGGGATAAAATAGGGGCTTGTCAGGGATACAAATCCAGGATTGCGCACTATTTAATCAACACAACCACTTAAAATAGAATCTTATTGTGGGGTTTTAGAATTGCAGCATTGTAAAGTTATTCATTATTTTTTCATTTGCTGAACCATTTTGGCCTTTGTGTTCCTCAGGCTGTTTCTGTGAGTAGCAAGTTGGCCATCTACCCTAAAACACTTGATTGTTATGCATGATGATTGATCGTTTTGGATGGATGGTCCCTTTTTTTGCATATGTAAAGCTAGTTTCTTTGGATTGTCCACAGAGGACTGGCTTGAAACACATCAAGGAGGTGCTATTTGTGAGACAGATCTGGGTTATCAGGCCTCAGACCGATGAAGTCTTTCGGATGAAAGACAAAACGTTTCTGCCTTAAAGAAACTTGTCCAGCTGATATGATTTAACCTTTTTTGTGATTTATCTACCTGGATGATTGAGTTTACAAACCTTTTTCTAATTCCTGAAGTCTTTCTAACCTTAGGTGTACATTTCAACTTACTTCGTCATAAATACTCCAATGAACACCGGGGAAAGAGAAAATCAGTGTGCGTACTGCATGAGCTAATCCTGCTTGACAAAACGCTAAAGAGCTTTTAGAGGTACCGGTTCAATGACATTGGCCTACCCGACTCTGATTTTGAGCATGCCGCTGAACAGCTCAGGGTTGTTGGAGATAATCCATCCAATGTGGATGACCAGCTCCTGCTGGAGGACAGCTTCCCTCTCTCCTCCTTGAGGAGAGCACTTGCTGTAAATGATGCCCTGGATGACTCCTGGAGACAGGGGGTTGGAGATCACCACCTCCTCATGGCCAAACAGACCGAGGGTCACCTGGTGATCGTGCACAGAAGGAGAAGAAAACACTCTTGTTCATATCTAGATACAACCTGAGAGTTATTTACAGGAGAAACGTGCAGGATTGTGCACGTGGATGCGTTGTCATGTGCGCCACATTTTGTTCAAGGCACAATTTCGACATGTGTGTTTGATGGCTTTGAAATTGGCCTCCTCTCCTAGAGTCACATTAAAGTGAAAAGGGGGAAAAATGACAGATCTCAACTACACTCTTGTGTTTTTGCTCTGAAGCAGCTCATGTAAATTACACCTCAGCAATCTCACTGATGAGAGGGCACACTTTTATCTTCGCCTTCGGATGATGAAATCCAACTCTTAAACTTGGATGCATCACTCATCTTTACATTTAAACTGAATTGGACTGTTTGAAAAAGAAAAAGAGGCCTGAAGCTGAAATAAAATTTGGAATCCTGAAGGGAAGGATTGTAGGATTTCAATAACAATAAAACATATAATCACCAATAGAGCGAAAAGTCTACTTAAATTAGATGGTGCCTCTTACTCTTGGTGCGGAGCAGTTATTGTACGCACATCCATCTCCAATTTTAAATGAGCTTTTCCAATCATGTAGAGAGGAGCATTCCCTCAAGGTAGGCAATCTATATGCAGATTCACACCTTCAGCTCCTTCAGCATAATGAAACGCCTAAAACTGCTCAAAAGGTTAAAAATGCAGCAAGATAACTGATACTCTCGAGAAGAGGCTAATCTCTGAATAACACTTGACGGGAAATGATGCACTGAAAGTCAACCAGTGTGAGGTGGCGGCATCACTCCATTCACAAGTCACAGTGCATCAGTCATGATGTGTCCAGACAAGGTGCACATTAGGATTCTCTGATGGTCACACTGGCAGCCTTGCTGCAGCTTAAAACCCACAAACAATCGAGGTGAGCGGTGATGAGGGACACGAGCAAAGCAGCTGGTAATTCCCAAGCACGAGGAGCTTTAAAAGTAACATTTTATCCCTATTTAATTTTAATTTTCTTTAGAATCAGTGAACATTAAAATGATTGGTCCAACTGTTTCCCCCAAACATTTTGATTTTAGAGAAGGGAATGTCACTAGTCAGGCCGTTCTGTCTGTGTGCCGACTTACCTGCTTGCCTTGCACTAAAATACTAGTAATACTGGGGGCAAGGCTATCCACTAGCTTAGTTAAGAGACTGGCAGCAAGACGGACAACAGACCTAGTGGGTGAAAAGACACAAGAACATTCTTGAGAAATTTATGGCAGTGAACAACTTTCAGCGAAGGAATTTAACATGTATCTTTACATTTAGTTTATTTATGTTTTTTTTTTTTAACAATTAAATGAAACATTATAGATACATAAAAGTAATTTGCAAAGATTTGTCCACAAAGAGCATGGCAAGCCTTTTTAGTTGCTAAAATAAACCTTTATTCTAATGACAATGTTAAGTTTATGTGTTTAAAGCCCAAATAAATAATTTGCTTTCTCGTAAATATTTTAATGTTCACACATTTCTGAGTTTATTGTTTACAAAATTCAGTGCAAGCCTGAAAACTGCTTCCTCTTGCCTGCAGGAATCCTATGAGGAAAAATTAGCACACTGAAACCGCGGCTGTCTAAAACATTCGCGTAGCCGGGGCTGCCACTGACAACACACACATGGAGGTGAAGCAGTCCTCAGAGCTGAGGTGGATGCATGAGGTTATGTCATAAATGGGAACATATAACCAGCTGAAACACAACTGGCTCTTATTATATGCTGAGAAGGACCAGTGTTACTGTGTTCTGTGTTTAAACCTGTGGAAATACAAAGAAATATCCAGGATGTTAAAAAGGGATACATTTTTAACATTTATGCTGTCAAAGCAGCACTGATACCGTATTTTACGGCCTATAAGTCTCACCTTTTTGCCTAGTTTGCATGCTCTGTGACTTGTAAGCCGAAGCAACTTATTTATGGATTTTTTCCCATATTTCCAAACAAAATTTTGACTGAGATATGACCGTTTTCATTCATTCTGACATTGAAAACATTGAACACTACCATTTTTAGCCGCTAGATGGCACTCGATTAGTATGGCATACCTTTGTGTCATGTAATTGGTAAAAGTGGCTATTAATGATACGATCAGCTTCCCATAGACTGCCACCTTCGTCCAGCTCGCCTGGAGCAACCGTCAAATCAGCTTCATTTCGCTGCGCCACCCTGGTGAAATGCAGCTAATTTGACCACTGAAGTGCATTTATTAAGGAAAAGTTCAACTGAGACACACCTTTGCTATAATTTTGAGCAAACAAATAATTGTTTTTAAGTGTTATTCTTGTTAAATTCTTGTTAAAGTCCTCCCGTGCACGCTCCCGCAGCCGCCATTTGGCAGCCGATCGATTTTGGGCACAACACAGTCCCACATTTCCAGGTTGTCAGTGGTGACGCAAAACAAATGTGACGTGTCAGCGGTGACACATTATAGGTGCGACTTATACGGCGAAGTGACTTATTTATGGATTTTTCCAAACTACTAGACATTTTTGGACAGATGTGACTTATACTTCGGTGTGACTTATAGGCCGGAAAATATGGTACTTAAGAAAAGAATATGGCTGTTGTTTCTCAGCAAGAAAGTAAAAGCTGTTCTTTTTTATCGAACAAATACATTATTCTTTCCAAAATTTTCCCTAATGAATAAAACAGCATACAATAAAAGTTGTTATGTCAGTCAGCTATAAAACCAAACCATGAACACAAAACATTGATCACTGTAAATGGGAACAGAAACTCAGCTGTGAGTTCAGACATCCATCCACAATATGTTGTCAGTACTTCAATATCAGGCCAGCAGCAAAACCACAAACTAAACAGAAAGTTTTCTGCTTTCAGAATCATAGTTTTTAACCATACGAACAAGAATTATGCATATCCAACTTAAGGAAACCCACATAAGGAAAATAAGCTAAAGGATCTGGAACACAATCATAATTTGAAGTAGACGATGATCTTGTTCACAGGGGTGAAAAAACACTCACCAATAATTGATCAAGTACTGTGAGCCTTTAGATGTATTCCCCTCACAGTATTTATTCAGATGACTTTGTGAGTGATGCTTGCTCCAGAAACAAATATCTCAAATATCTATCATGGATATTTATGATAAATGCACCAGGGGTTCGAGCCAAATTCTACTTAATTTGCAGTTTGCAGCCAGCCTTGGAGAACATCGGGGACAAAGCAGAAGGGATGATCCTGCCTCTGTGTCGGTTAAAAAGGAGAGTAAGCCAACACTGATCACAAACTCAGCTCCTGAAGGTATCTGAGTCAAGGTTCCTGCTAGCCTTGCCTAGCTGGCTCGCCAGTATTACGACTGTGTGAGCGTTAGCAACGTTTACAAAGGTAAACAAAATTAATGTATTTCAAAATGGGATGGGCAAGATGGCTTTTTGTGAAGTTTTGACGAAGTTACACGATCTGTAGCTAAACAGAGAACTGTTGAGTCAAATATGGTCACAACAATTAGGTTTACATAACGTTTAACTTTACTGTACATGATTTAACAGTACAGTGGTCCATCGCTACTTAGCGGTTTGACTTTTGCGGACTTGTTCTTTCGCGGTTTTTCACAGTACAGTAATGTAAGATTGTACAAAAAAAAAAAAAAGTGCCGCCATTTTGTAGTTTTCTCTCAACAAGTCTATACTGACTGTATCACCAGTCTAAAGGACTACATTACCCAGAAGGCAAAGTTGCTTTCTGCTGGAGAGAAAGTTTCGATCCAATCAAAAAAAAAGCTCACTAGACTTTTGCTTTAGTTTAGTGGATTTAAATTTATTAGCTGACTGAACTGTTTAGGTTTGTTGTTTCAACTCGGAAATCTGTCACTTCTACTTCGTGGTTTTTCACTTATTGCAGGGGGATCTGGAACGTAACCCCCACGATTAATGAGGGACTACTGTATTTGTTTTGTTTTGATGGTATATCTACATTGTGCACTTTATATATTATACACATTTTACTTACTTTTTATCTTTTAATGGCCCGAAAAACAAAACAAAACACCTTAATTCTCTGCTGTACAATAGACAAAGCTTTTCAAAATAAAAATTATTTTTACAAACCTTAGTTTTCGCAAATTTCGTTCACAGATTTAAGAAGGATAAATCTCATGGAAAACATTTTCATAAAGACGTTTAAATGGGATTGGCCTAACACCTCACACAGCTCTCCAGCTAGCCAGCTAGTTAGCCAGCTGATGCATGCGGGGGTGTTTCCTCCATCTGTGCCTGACCATTACCTGTTTCCCATGCACCAGAATTGTGGTGATGTGAGGCGCTATAGAGCTGGCAAACTTCTTGGTAATGGCAGCAGCGCGCCGCACTGCCAGCCTGTTCACCCAGATTAAAAAGCAGTAACATTTTTGTTCCAGTATAAGTTTGTGGGGGAACACAGACAGACATGTCAGGAATAAAGACAGTGAGATTAAAGAAACTTCCTAAAAACACAGCACGTGTTTTCACATGCTTCCATGTTTACACAACCTTTTGTACATTTCGAAAATAATTTCCATCAGAATGAAACAGTGCAGGCACCGAACAATTCTGGATGCATTTTTAGAAGTTGTGTTTTGGAAGGCCTGCATGTTTGTGGTGTGTGTGAGAGTGTCAGACCAAAGTTTTCTGCTGCCAGCTCTTCTGTAGATTCTCTCCAGTTCCTCCATCAGGTTCTCTGGAATCAGAACATATTTGTGCTAGGACCACATGCAAACATATTTTATAACATCTGAAATATTCAAATCCCTGAAATATTTAATGCAAATAGATATAATTAAAAAAATATAAAATAAATAAATATATATATATAGTAGTCCCAATCTACTTAGCGGTTCGACTTTCGCAGACTCGCTCTTTCACGGTTTTTCAAAATAAGAGTGGACATGACCCATACTTGACTGTTTGATGGATGAGCCACACAAGCGGCATGGATTGTTTATTTAAAATAAATTATTTAAAATGATTTAGCACCTTTGTGAAGCTCACAGGTGCAGGGAGAAGCTTCCTCTGCAGCCTGTCATGATCTCAGTTCTCTGCCACCCACACATTTCTGCTCTGTACTGAAGCAGCTTCATGAAGGGTTAACCCTTTGCTGTCCAGCTGCACTGATGGACTTTTGTCTTCCAACTTAAAATTCAAAGTATGTCACATCGTAAAATCGTCATAATCACAAAAATATAAAAGTGTTAAAAGTTATTTTAAATTATTTTAGAACTTCTATGTTCAGTTGTTTCAGTGTAAGTGATCAAGAAGTACATTTCTGCTCCGTGCTGCATCAGCTGTGTGAAGGGTTAACGCTTTGATGTTCTGCTGCACTTATCTCCTCTACAATTTAAATTTAAATACTGTAATATTTTAAATAAACAATACATGCTGCATGGCTTGTTTATTTAAAATATTACAGTATTTAAATTTAAATTGTTTATTTACACACAATGCGGGAGATTGGGAATGAAACTTGAACTTGGACTACTGTATCCCTACTTCACGGTTTTCCACTTATCGCGGGGAGTGTGGTCCCCTAAACCCTGTGATAAACAAGAGACTACTGTATAGATATTTGTTTGTGTTAGCCGAGTCATCCCCAATACACACTCAGAGCACTAACGTATCACATGACATTGTTCAATTTTGTGTGCTATTGCGCCCATCAATATTTTTAAGATTTAGTCAAAAGGGCTAAAACTCTTATTTCTATAGAAAATCTGATCTTTGTTTAGAACATTGGCATTAAATGTAGTGGGTGATGTGTATCCCTTCATGGAGTGCTAAGCTTCTTTTATGTCCTCAACAGCTTATGGCTGATTAGGATTTTACATTTTAATAATAGTGTGAGCTTACCATCTTTTTCAAGAAAGTCAGGTCCTTCTCTCCTGAGAAGGATGCTGGCAAGTTGCGCCTGACTGGCTAAGCAGCCGCTCTCCTACACAAAGACAAAATATATATAAAGGAAGTGGAATATGGCAATGCAAAGCAGTAAAGGAATCTTCTTTCTCTGAAGGACAAAAAAACCCAAGTCATTTTCATGCATGTGAGGGTACAACAGAAAATAGCTGCTGAAAAAACAAGCACAATCTTGAAAAAAAAATGTGTGTGGAACATCACAGACTTCCTGTTGTAGAATACAACAAGTTGCTGAGGAGACCCAAGCTCATCTATCAGAGCTGCCTGAGAGAGGAGGTACAGAAAGGGGTGTGCGAGGAAATGTAAGAGTGATCACCTCGAAGCTAAAGAAGCAACTCCTGTTCCTTGAAGTTAACTCACGTGAAACTTCTGCAGGATCTCATGGGTGGGTTTGTTCTGCCACTCCTCCACGCTGATCTCCGGCTGCTGCTCCAGGTCTGAGGCGTTCGGAGTGCTCGTCTGTCTCTTCACCTTTGAGTGCTTTGGCAGCTCCAGCTCCTCGAAGCTCTTAAACTCTGGGATTCTTTGCAAAAGATGCACAGAAACAATTAATTCTGTGTGATGCTTGGAATTAAACAGCATGTACACTTTATGTGTTTGATTTTTATAAACATACTTTACAATGCATGTTTCATTACAACAACTACTGTAACGCTTGCAATTTATTTTGATTCCATTAATTTTCCTTTTAAGTGTCTTTACAAGTTATACTGCGGTTTAACAATTCTTATAGAAGCAAAACAGTCAGTAAAAAAGACAACAAAGACCAGAATAAGCTCTTACTCTGCTTCATTGACACGCAGAAAGTCCAATTGCTCCACGAATGCCCCGGATATTAGGGTCTATAACATCAACGATAAAAAAAAAACACAAACTGTAATGTATTTTTATTATTTTAGACATTACGCATGAACTACACAGGTGACAAAACTGTACTATAAATCCCAGATGAGGCTTATTGAGCCACTCCGTAAACAAAACAGGTGCTGGTAAAATGAAATACAACCTTAATTCCAACAAGCCTTCATGTAAATGTAATGAAAACAGAATGCAATGATTTGCAAATCTCATAAAATCATATTTTATTCACAATGGGACATGTAAACACGCCAAACAGTCATACTAAAAAATGATCCCATTTCTGGGACATTTAAGGCACTTTTGTATTTGGTGCACCACCATATCATCAGAGAGGCAGACATTTGAACTGTGTATTGATAACAGGCTGGAAGGTGATAATATCCTCTTTAGTATGGAGGAAGTGGTGTCTATGGTTTCCAAAAGGAAAAGTTTTGTTTACTAAATGCAGAACAGCTTTCCACGTTGCCTCTTTTCATTTATAGAGCATTGCTTTGCCTATTTCAATTAAAAAAAAGCTCCTCCAGCTTTTACTTTTATATTTGTACTGCTTACAATTAGTCTTTTACTGCCTTTATTCCATCTTTTGTGAGACATGTTGCTGCTATAAAATTAAAAGTTATATATTTTTTCCCAAAACTTTTACAATGTCTTTATTTACTGTATTTTTCAGACTATAAGGGGCACTTAAAATCCTTTAATTTTCTCAAAAATCGACAGTGAGCCTTATAATCCAGTGCACCATATGTATTAATTCTGGTTGTGCTTACTGACCTTGAACTGATTTTATGTGGTACAATTGAACAATGTTGAGAGTTATTGTGAATGAGTTAAAAAAAAAGTTAGACTTATTTGACTGTTTTGTTTCACTTAATGCACCTTATAATCCAGTGCACCTTATGTATGAAAACAGACCCGTTCGTTGATATTGCGCCTTATAATCTGGTGCGCCTTATAGTCCGAAAAATATGATACACGTTTTATATGTTTACTAAGTTCCAGTGTGAATAAAATATTGGTTTATGAGATTTGGTAAACACAAATTTTATTTACATTTTCCACAATGTCCCAACTTTGTCTGAACTGGGCTGTAAGTTAAGTGTTAAGGTGTATTTTAAATGACAAATGTGTCGAACTGCTGTGACGTGAGTGTCTAATACAACAAGTGGTGGCTGATAAAACTGACAATTTCAAAATAATAACTGTGGAGGAGTTAAAATAAATAAATAAAAACTCTCCTGTCGAGGTCCAAATGAGACATTAACCATTCTTATTGAAGTCAACTCAAAAACAATAAAAATAGAGGAGTAGGAGAAGAATAGTTGTGCTCGCCATAACAATGAGATGATGAAGAGTAGAAGTTGTTCAAAGTTGTGGGAGTTAGCTGTGAAGTGAATGGCAACGGCAAGGAGGAACTTCAGAGCTCAGAAAAAAGAATCAGATGAGGAATTCTCTTCTGAGCAACACAAACACACGGGGGGAGAAGTTAAGAGTGAGAAAACCTGTCAAAAGTTTAACAAAGTGTTTTAAGTTAGCAATGTGAAAATAGTCTTACTTCCACCTCAGCCCAATTTTCTTTATTTCTTTTTTGTTTGTTCCACAAAGCACAATTTGTGGCTCAGTGAGGTACTTCAAGGTTTGTTTCAGGAATATACATCCTTATACTTAACATTACACTGAAAATCTAACCTCTTCTACAGTAATCTACATTTAAGATTAAAGACTAAAAGAGATAAGCAGCATGGATAATCAGCAGCACAGACAAGTCACATATCACTAATTAAAGAAAAATCATTGTAATTCCATTTAAATTTGTGATATGTGACATCTGTTCTCTGATTATCCATGCTGCTGTTCTCTGATTATCCATGCTGCTGATCTCTGATTATCCATGTTGCTGATCTCTGATTATCCATGCCGCTGATCTTTGATTAGCCATGCCGCTGATCTTTGATTATCCATGCCGCTGATCTTTGATTATCCATGCTGCTGATCTTTATCTATGCTGCTGATCTCTGATTATCCGTGCTACTGATC